AGTCACATGGCACTATCATCGCCTGCTCTTTGGGCTAACGTTCTGGAACATTTTACTGCATGCGATTTATGTCCTCTTCATCCCCGAGAGTACACTTCACCGCAGAGGCTCTCTGTGCCCACAGGAGTACAGGGCAGGGCAGAGCTAGTCTGGACTCCTTCAGCTGAGACATGAGCTCCACTGGCACACTGATGACACCTAAGCAGAAAGCCTGCCTCAGGAACTTTGATGAGGCAAACTCAGGCCCAGTTCCTGCGATCAGCATCATCTGCCCTCCCAGCCTGGGCCCCAGTGGAGCCCTCCACAGATGGGGCAGTGGCCCACAGTCCTGCCGGGGAAAGACATGGCAGCACCATCACGTCTCTGGAGCCCACCAAGGGCAGAGAGGGGCCAGGCTTCCCTTCCCTAGGAAGCGCTGATGAACCTGGAAAAGCTCACAATCCAGCTCTCTCTGCAGACCACCCCAGGAGAAGACCCGAATCAGCACCTGAAGTGGAGGATGCAGTGGAAGGGCCCACAGGCTCCCAGAGAGTTAGGAAGACTTGCCAGAAGCAGCCGGGCTGCCCTACGCCCTGCTGGGAGCCTGCGGGGAGGACATGCCAGCCTCAATGGCTAAGGAAGGGACCCATTTGGGGAACAGTTGCCTCTCAGTCTCAAAATACCTAAACCCACATGACCTCTACCTCGCTCCAAAACAGGCCCTTCACTCCAAAGAGGCCAAGTTCTTCGTGGCCCTCTGCAGGACCATGCTCGTTCCAGTCTCCAAGCTTGGCTCCCACCCGAAATACGCCACTTCTCCCTGCTACCAAGCTGACTCAAGGCCCAGCTCAACCCCTACCTGCCCCACAACGCCTTCTCTGGTTACTTAGCCAGAACGTCCACATTCCAGGAAGTCAGAGCTTGGCCTGACCAAGCCCACACTCCACGGAAGCCACCACCCTCTCTCCTCCCAGCTACATTATACTCCGCTCAGTGCGGGAATGAGGTACCATCCCTCTCCCCTCATCCTCCTCTATTCTCAATCTCTTACTAAAGTGTTGGGCAACCCAGGAAGTGTCTCCCAAATACCCACGAGAGACTTACACTTCACATTATGTCCCCAGTCACGTCTCCTCCCCCAGCACAGGGTCATCTCATTAGCTCATCTAACGCTCAGTCATGTGCTCGCCCTGCTTACCCTCCAAGGCTCCCTTCTCCATCATGCCCATCCTGTCCTGCCCCGAGGGGCCTTCCATTCCCCCTGTGTGGCCCAGCAACTCCTGCAGCACCCAGCGTGATGACTGCCCACCCGTCTGTGCTTCCCTGGGGAGCTCACCTCTAAATGTCACAGCCAGGGCTCCACAAGGGCAGGGCACACAGCCAGTGGCAGAAAATAGCTGTGGAGTGAGTTTATGGATCAGCCCACTCCAGTTAGTATCTTCTGCTGCGAAGGAGTAAAATTAAGCGCAAAAGATCATTCTACCTCGAGACCACAGGTTTTCTTTAGATTTGTGCGCCCCAGTGGGTCCTCTTTAGATTTGTGCGCCCCAGTGGGTCCTGCCAGCGGGCAGCCGCCTTCCGTGGGGAAAGGGGGAAACTGCTGGAAGTCTGAGAGACACCTGAGCAATCCTTCCTCCATTCAGCGAGCATCCCTGGGGCAGGGGGGATGCATCGCTGATCTGGTACAAGCTGTAATTTCAAGAGCAGCATCAAAGATGAGCAGAGCCTGCCCAGAATGTCAACCCATTTGTCTTAGCTTTCTTCATGCAGAAAATGTTCTCATTTACTCACGTCACTGCAGCTAAGAACTTAAAGGAGAGCATGAAACCTTAAATCAATGACTGGACTCGTTAAAGCGACTTGATTTAATGTACGTTGTTGTTGTTATTAGGTGCCATCCAGTTGGTTCCGACTCATAGCGACCCTGTGTACAACAAAACGAAACACTGCCCAGTCCTGTGCCATCCTCACAATCGTTGTTATGCTTGAGCCCACTGTTGGAGCCACTGTGTCAATCCATTTCATTGAGGGTCTTCCTCTTTTTTGCTGACCCTCTATTCTACCAAGCATGATGTCCTTCTCCAGGAACTAGTCCTTCCTGATAACATGTCCAAAGTATGTGAGACAAAGTCTCGCCATCCTTGCTTCTAAGGAGCATTCCGGCTATACTTCTTACAAGACAGATTTGTTTGTCCTTCTGGCCGTCCATGGTATATTCAATATTCTTCACCAACATCATAATTCAAAGGCGTCAATTCTTCTTCAGTCTTCCTTATTCATTGTCCAGCTTTCACATGCACATGAGGCGACTGAAAACACCACGGCTTGGGTCAGGGGCACCTTAGTCCTTAAAGTGACATCTTTGCTTTTTAATACTTTAAGGAGATCTTTTGCAGCAGATTTGCCCAATGCAATGCGTCGTATATATACTGACAATTTCACCTCTTTTTTTTTTTTTAACAAGCAGTGGAGGACTTCTGTAATGGCACCATATTTAGCTACTCAATTTTTCCAGAGTAGTTGCTGCCATGTGCTGGTAGTTAAAATGCTGCTGCCAAGTGCACCTGCAGGAGCAGATTGTATGTTGTGTACATGCTAACAACCCTTGTCTCCCCACAAAGAGGAACAGAGAGCACCCCATGGGGACCTGTCCTCACGCCCTTCAGCACTCTGCATGTATGAACTCCTTTAACGCTCACAGTACTATGACGTCCGTATTGTTACCACCCCCATTTTTACGGATTAGGAAATTGAGGCAAAGCTTGCCCAAAGCCACACACAGGTGGTAAGTGATAACGGCAGGATTCGCACCCAGGCCACCTACGGCCTCTGGCGGCCTGTCACTCAGAAGCACAGGTTCTGTGGGCTTATCTCCTCGCTCCAGGCCATACTTGGTTAGTACCCACGGCAATGTCACTCAACTACAAAGCAGAAAGGGGCCCCGTGACTCTAGGATTCTCCAGCTAGCTGACATTATCACAAGCTGAGCCCATCCTCCCGTGAACCTGGGCTCCAGAAACCTGTAGCGGGGGCGGGGGCAGATGGCAGTCCTGACTCCCAGCACTGTCCCAGAGGCACCTCCAAATTGTCTTGCGACTGCCGGTTCCGACAAAGCTTCATCCAGTTGTGCCACCCACTCTCCCACCACGCCGTGAGAATGCACCTGACGAGGCAGCGCCTGCCGCCCCGCTCTGGCGACACGTCTGTGACTGCTGCCGCTCCCACCACTCCTGCTGTCTCGTGTGACACGTTTCCCAGGTGAGGTGCTCCTGTCTGGTTACTGAAATGGAAGCCTGGCCTGGACACCCACCAGGAGGGCTGTCACCAGCCAGGGGCAGGGCAGGGGGTGCCTGCACCCCCACGCTTTCCAGTTTGCATTCACTCTCGCGGAAGCTGGCTCCACGAAGGCAGGGACGTGACCTGTCACAGTCCCCACTACCCAGGCTTCCAACCGGTTCATTCCGGCTCCAACCCCTGCTGAGAATGTGCATTTCCACCCCAGATGTTTGGCATCAGAATCTACAGTCTGACAAGATCCCCAGGTGATTCTTATATGTAATAAATATTGAGAACCACTGCTCTACTACTGGTTCTCAGAATTGGTCCCTAACCAGCACGTTAACATCGCCTGGGAACTTGTTAGAAATGCACATTCTCAGCAGGGGTTTGAACCTGAACCGGTGGGTTCAAAGCCCTGCCCACTGCAGCCTCAGCGCCTGGCACACAGTAGCTGCGCAATAAATACACACTTTTAATAAAATGAGGAGCTCTGGTGGTGCAGTGGTTAACGGCTCGGCTGCTAACCAAAAAGGTCAGCAGCTCGAATCCACCAGCTGGTCCTTGGAAACCCTATGGGGCAGTTCTACTCTGTCCTGTAGGGTCGCTATGAGTCGGAATCGACTCGACGGTAACGGGTTTAATAAAACGAAGTATTCAGCTAAAAACCCGTAATAACCTTTCCCCCAGTGTGTAGGAAAGAAAAGTGTTGATGGAAGCTTCAGCTCCTTGCCCGCCTTTTTTTAAACATTGGCATTGGTCCCCACTTGTCTCTAGGAGACTGTGATGTCAGAAGGTATTTGATTTAGAACAAAACTACACAGCAAATTATTTGAAGTTTATAAAACCACTTCATGCTCATCCCCAGCAAACACTACAGCGTCACCCTGACCTTCCGCCACGGAGCCGCCTGTGTCAGCCCCACAGGGGGCTTACATCCATGCCCTCACTTCATCCCAGATCTCCCTGGGAGGCTGTGTTATCCCCCTTTACAGATGAAGACCCCGAGGCACAGATCAGGTCACACAGCTGGTGACGTCACCACCAGGGGGAGAACCCCGATCTCTCAACTGCACTCGGCTGACAAGTGCCAGGAAAACGCCAGAGCTTTCTCCACCAGAACAAAAGCTGATCAAAAGTTGATTTTCCTTTGACCAGTGAGCAGGAAAGAGAGTGGGAATCAGGAAGAGTGACTTCCAAAAGCCATAAAATAACCTCACTGGGAAGGGAATTCCTCACAGGCACAGACTGGCAGGAAGATGCTCCAGTAAGCTGAGGGCAGTCGGTTCAGCCCTCTGACCGCTTACCTGCGGGGCCCCCCATGATGTCACGTTATGGCCATTTCTATTCAAAACCCCCAAATAAAGCTGTGCCCAGCAATCCCTGTGTCTCCAAAGAGTTTCTACCACATTCCATTGTGTTGGGCACCATCTGCCCTGTCTTGACTTGACTGACTCATCTAGTCACATCTAAACATAAAAAAGAACATAATAAACACCCCTAACCTCCTTACGTATCAGACTTTTCAGGCAAGGTAAGTACACCACCTTCACTGAAAGCCAGGCCATGGGTGTGTTTGCGTTCTTTCTGCTGCCATCTAGGTCTGACCACCAATGTCTGCCAGTTTTGGGGGACATTCATCTCATACCCTCATCCCTGCCTCCCCCAACAACAGCAACAAAAAAGGCATGCCCGGAACCACCTGCCCAATCTCCCATTCAGTAGTAAGAGGTGCATGGTATTACCTCCCAGAAGCTATCGCTGGAGACTTCTACGCCAACGGAATCATCGTAAGCGACAGACATTTCTTCAAAGGGTGAGGGAGCACCAGGGTATGCTTGGATTCAGAAGCCGACTTCAGATGCTCAAAATCTGTAGGAAAACCTATGAAAGAGAAACAGACACAATCGTGGTTTTTAAATTCCCATGGTCAAGAAGCAAGCCGTCTCCATTTTACAGACGACTTCCCATTGCCATCACCGCCTTTGGTACAGAACAGTCTGAATGTTTCCCGTTGGTGGAAGAGAGTCAAGAGACTCCACTGAACTCTAGGCACTGCACACGTGTGCCTGTGTGTGCGTGTGCGAGCGTGTGTGCATCTCACATTAACAAGTAAACTTTACTTTCCAACGTCTTACCAAAAAGCTCCTGAACTTTATGGGAACAGTTTGCATTCCTACGTCAACGGACAGTAACCTTACTAAATACCCCCTCCCCTGAAGAAAAGGAGAGTGTGAGGAGAACACGCAAAAGCAGGCAGCGTCCCTGCTTCTCTGGCTCCTCCTTTCCCAGCCTGGTCTACTCAGCAGCAGGGCTAGGACCAGGGGTAAAATTCGAGTGGCAATAATCCCACCTTTGACACCTGACTCCACTCTCCAAAGAGTTTCCACCACATTCCACTGTGTTGGGCACCGTCTGCCCAGTCTTGACTGACTCATCTCAGGCCACTGAAGCCCCAAATCCAGACCATTTATTCTGACACCGTCTATGTGAGGCTCAAGTACAAAGAGTGAAGACAAAAAAGCTAAGTGCGTCATCTCTGAGTAACATACTCAGTGTTCTAAAATCCAGGCAAAGGTACAGGGGTGATTATTCCTCCTGACAGAGGAAAGAAGTCGATGGATCCCTGTCACAAATCACTTTGATAGAATGACCCGTTCACAGCCCACATGGGACCTTCTGATTTCTTGGTGAAAAGGTGATTCCATCCTTCTTTACACCATCCCGTGTTCGGATTACAAAGCCAGAGATCTGGAACTTTCTTAACTATTGTATTCAGGAGTGCAAAGTCTCAGCTTAGCAGCCGGAGAGGGCGGGAGGGGGTGGGACATAGTGACCAACACTTTTTGAGCACCTACAAAGTGCAAGACTTTGCTCCAGCTACTTTTCCGTATGTTATCCCATTGAATATCCTCACAAGTCTCTGTGAGACAGTCTAGAACCACAGTAAGGAACACAGGTTCTACAGTCAGACTGCCTGGGCTTGAATCCCAGAAAAAGTGCTACAAGATGTGGCCTGCATGCCAAGGCCCAGGACAAAGGGGTCTGAGCAACCTTTCTGGCAGCCTCAGGGTCAGAGTGACACACAGCCCCTGGGGCAAGTTACCACAATTGCCTTAACTACACGGTGGAGAGAACATTGGAGCCTTGGGGAGGGCCAAATGAGGCAATACACACAAGGGCTAGAACAATACTTGGTTCACAGTAAGGGTTCAAAAAATGTTGATTATTATTATTATAACTATAAGCCCTTTGTCAATCTTTTTTTTTATTGTTATTAGTTTAATTTCCATTTTATAGTTGTGCAAACTGGTGCTCAGAGAGGTTGAGTCACCTGCCTATGGTCACCCAAGTAATAAATGGTGAAGACCAGCATTTGACACCGCGTCTGTCTGCTAAGGGAATGTTTCCTCCATTATACCAAGATGTTTTCCAAATGATCTCAAATTTAAATTAATTCGATGTCCTATAACCTGAGCGTTATTTGCTAATTAAAAAGCTTTACTCTGGTGGACTGCAGAGCTTCCAGAGGTGAGCCCGCAACTGGACAGACAGTAAGTGCAAAGCAAGGAACAGATCAGGTACTCCAAAGCCAAGTTCTCCAAACACACTCAAGATATAAACGGACAGGGTTGTGTGGTTAGGACACACGTGCTCGTCCTAACAGCAGGCTCTCCTGGCAGATATCAGTGAGGACCAGCCAGACAGCTGGACCTCTGTCCCAGAATCACGGGTGCCATGTGTCACTCTACCCCAAGGCTGTCAAAGCGGTTGCACAGGCCCCTTTGGCCTGGGCCCTGGCATGCATGCCACATTTCATGGTATTCTCTTTTTCTGGAGCCAAGGTCCTTCTGGAATCACCCCAGCCCAGGTCTGCGGCAGCGGAAAGGCTTCTACCCAGAGCAGCTCTGCTCCAGGCTCCTGGAGGAATATCAGGGTTCTGGCCCAGCCACACCATCTGCTGGGCTGTCCAGGCAGCAGGGACAGTGCAGGAAGAGTGTTCTGCTCTGTCCTGAAGGCATCCCAACATTTGCAGGGTGAAAGCAGAGGACTTCACTTCTGCCTGGAGTCGGTCCTGGTTTAGACACTAACGACAGAACAGTCCTGCACAAGAAGATTTATGAAGAGCCTACTACATGCCAGGAGCCTAGAGAAGAGGTTGCCAGTGGAGTTAGAACTAAAGACACCCAGGAGTCAACTTTTAGGAGCAAGAGCCTGAGTCGCTGGGAAGCCGCGTGTCTTAGTTATCTAGCGCTGCTATAACAGAAATATCACATGGATGGCTTTATCAAAGAGAAGTTTATTTCCTCACAGTAAAGTAGGCTAAAAGTCCAAATTCAGGGTATCAGCTAGCTCCAGGGGAAGGCTTTCTCTCTCTGTCAGCCTTCTCATCAATGTTCCCCTAAACTAGGCACTTCTTCGCACAGGGACCCCAGGTCCAAAGGATGTACTCTGCTCCTGGCACTGCTGTCTTGGTGGTATGAGGTCCCCCTGTCTCTCCACACTAGCTTCTCTCTTTTATATCTCAAGAGATTGCCTCAAGACACAATCTAATCTTGTAGCTGAGTCCTGCCTCACTAACACAACTGCCACCCATCCTCCCTCATTAACATCATATAGGCAGGATTTACAACATACAGGAAAACAACACAATACTGGGAATCGTGGCCCAGCCAAATTGATACACACATTTTTGGGGGGACATAATTCAATCCATGACACCTCGCCACATACAGAACCAGGGAATGCTGGATCTTTGAAGGCCACAGAGATGAAGCGTGCTCTAGCTGACCAGCAGGACTGGGAAGGCCTGCAAGGGCACGAGGCTTGTCCAAGGTCATGCAGTGGCAGAGTGGGGGAAGGCTTCCTTGCTCATGCCCCCTCAGTCCAGGGCCCTGGACTGCACCACAGCGCTGTGCTCAGAAACTATGACATCTCTGAGATCGTGGCTGTCCAACGAGGACCAAGTGTACCCCACTGGCATCCATGTGGCCACAGGCAATATTTACTGATTACAGTCGGCTCAATGTATCCTCATGAGAGATGCTCAGAGCTCGCTTTAATGCTGAACCAACTCCCTCCCACAAGTCCTTTAGTTCTTGTTCATCTCCCAACTTAAACATTCTCCAAGATTACATATGACTGTCATTATTAACCTAACCAAAAAAAACCAAACCCGTTGCCGTCGAGTCGATTCCGACTCATAGTGACCCTACAGGACAGAGTAGAACCACTCTATAGGGTTTCGAAGGAATGCCTGGTGGATTCGAACTGCCAATCTTTTGGTTAGCAGCTGTAGCTCTTAACCACTACACCACCAGGGTTTCCTTATTAACCTAAATAAAACAAAATTAGGAAGGCAAATCTCCTTTTGTAAAACTGTACAAGGCATTCCAGACTCAACATAAATGACTTGTGGAAGCTCTGAACTTCACTTCTGAGTTGTAGTCATTCAGAATTAACAGCCCTTTCCTTCTGAACCCTCTAAGGAGATCTTACCCAGTATCTCCCTGAACTGTGCAGTCTCTTCTAAAAGGTCGTAAACCAACAAAGACATCTAAAGTCCCATAGGGGAAACTGAGGCAAGGCATTACAAACCCAAAGAGACATAGCTGATGAGGGGAGGAACTGAAGACCTCCTGCCCAGAGAATTAGTAGTTCATGAGATAACACAGACAAGAGCATCTGCTTAGGAGCGCCTAGGATGTGGGAAATGCACAGGCTTTGGAATCTGAAAATTCAGGTTCAAATTCCAGTTCTCCATTGACCGGCCGTGTGACGGTGGGAAAGCCACTTCATATCTCTAAGCCCTAGCTCCCCCAGCTGTGCCTCCCTGGTCTCAGGGATGGTTAAACGAGGTGACATAAGGGTGCCCAGATCGTGGGTTGCAGGGTTTCCCTCAATGGGAGTGTCCTCCTGAGCCAATATTTTTGTTCCAAGGGTCTCATGACTTCTTTCAGCTCCACATGACAGTCACAAGGAACGCAGGCAAAAGGGAGAACATAAGGGGATCATAACAAATTATGAATAACATTACGAAGAATGGGAATTCCAGAACACTTAATTGTGCTCATGAGGAACCTGTACTTAGAGCAAGAAGCAGTCGTTCAAACAGAACAAGGGGATACTGTGTGGTTTAAAGTCAGAAAAGGTGTGCGTCAGGGTTGTATCCTTTCACCATAGTTACTCAATCTGTATGCGGAGCAAATAATCCGAGAAACTGGAATGTATCAAGAAGAACAGGGCATCAGGATTGGAGAAAGACTCATTAACAACCTGCAATATGCAGATGACACAACCTTGCCTGCTGAAAGTGAACAGGACTTGAAGCACTTATTAATGAAGATCAAAGACCACAGCCTTCAGTATGGATTACACCTCAACATAAAGAAAACAAAAAATCCTCACAACTGGACCAGTAAGCAACATCATGATAAACGGAGAAAATATTTAAGTTGTCAAGGATTTCATTTCACTTGGATCCATAATCAACACCCATGGAAGCAACAGTCAAGAAATCAAAAGACGTGTTGCATTGGGCAAATCTGCTGCAAAAGATCTCTTTAAAGCAAAGATGTCACTCTAAGGACTAAGGTGTGCCTGACCCAAGCCATGGTTTTCAATCACCTCATATACATGTGAAACCTGGACAATGAACAGGGAAGACCAAAGAAGTACCGATGCCTTTGAATTACGGTGTTGGCGAAGAATGTTGAATATACCATGGACTGCCAGAAGAACGAACAAATCTGTCTTGGAAGAAGTACAGACAGAATGCTCCTTAGAAGCAAGGATGGCGAGACTACGTCTCACACACTTTGGACATGTTATCAGGAGGAACCAGTCCCAGGAGAAGGACATCATGCTTGGTAGAGTAGAGGGTCAG